TATATATATATATATAAAGAAATAAGCAGAAACTATTATACGGCCCTCCAACCACTCTTAATATGTCTAACAATTTGAGTACCACCTGTGCCAGAGGGATTTCGAAACCCCGACCTAAGAGGTCTTACAACGAGGAGTCAAAATAATTATATATATATGTACCTATTTTATGGAATTATGATATAAATAATTTAGGTTGGTAGTGGGTGGCTGGCGATTGACTTTATTTATGTCTCTTATCATCAACTTTTAAGCCGGTAAATATTGTGCTTTGGAAGAGAGGAGAACACACTAAAATAGAAGTTCACTACTAAAATAGATACTTTTATTTATTTATTTATTTATTTTGAATTTGTTTGACTGCTTTTGTCATTTTAATTAATGCTTCAATAAATTTTAATTGTCCTTTGTTTTATTAAGATTTTGTTTTTACCATTTAATAATAATTTATTTATTTTTAAATGTTTATATTAACCTTTTTTTAGCGTTTTTAAATTTAATAATTTTTTAATATTTCTTTAAAATATTTAATAATAATAATAATTATTATTATTGTTTATTGAAATGACAATTATTAATAGGCATTGAATATAAAAAAAGTAAACCGGAAATATTAAATAATATTAATAATTTAAATTAATAGGAAAATTGAAAATATAAATCATTATTTATACTTTCATAATTTAGAATAATAATTATTATTAAATAAAAATTAGAACAGAAAAGATTAAATAATATTAATAATGTTATATTTAAGAATAATATTAATTATTAAATCTAAAAAGGCCGAAAAAAAAAATAATATTAAAAATGTTATAATTAAGAATAATAATATAATGGAATAAACAATAAAAATAAAAAGAATATATAATAGTATAAATACTTTTATTATTAAAAAGAAGAATGATAATAATAATTAAATATAAAAATAATAACTTAAACTATATAGGTCCAATCGGTTAGGCTGAGTTGGCGTTGTTAGTCAGCTTAGGGTCAACAGGGCTGACTTGATTGTCTAAGTTTTGTTAATTGATTAATCTAGTCTGACTGTCGATGCTCGATCGTTGGATGAGAAGCTCCTGTCGAATGAGTGAAATTATGTTATCGTGTAGAGGGTAAATCACAGTAACCTGATAGACAGCTCTTTCCTAAACGAGAAAAGCCTGTGGGATGACTTTAGGTCTCTGCTACATTGTCAATTCTTCGTCCCTAATGAGAAACCTTGGCGGCGTCTGCGAGACTACTGGTGATATTAAAGAGTCAGGTCTTTCTTCGAGTAGAATCTATTGGAAGGTAGGTTGTTGTCTTTGGACAGCTTTCCAGCAGGGATTAGCTCAAATGTTTATTTGTTTTGCTTTAGTTTGTTTAGTTCAAATTTTATTTGATCAGTCATCCTTTTGTTCTTCTCCCTCTGTCAGCCTTTAGCTTTGTTATATTCGATCAAGTGAGCATCATGATCTTCTATCGGTGAGTTCTCCTTCACCTTATTTTCTTTCTTTATCTCCTCAGGATCAGAACTGACGTAAGTTCAAAAAAATATTTCACTATGTCATATGAACACAATCATAAGAATGTATTAAGTATTTTTATTATTACAGATTAATATTGAATGCGTCAAAACAGTTTCTGCAAGCCAAAACCGAAACAAGTTTTTGAAATATTTTAACTTAAAGAAATAGAATACAGCAAAAGAAATGCCCGTCTCCACACGGAAGCGTCATCGTTTTAATAAAGGGGCAATTGCATACAGGCCACTCGAATTTTGCAATTTACAAATTTGCAGCTCATCAAATTTCAAATTCTCACGCCATTATCAAGGTTCATGATAAAACCCCGACTCATATATTTTCATAAATACATCAATTTAGTAGTTCAAATAAACTACAAAAAACAATTAATTTATAAATATCAAATCTGGAATGTCATGTGGAGTCATTTTAAATCTCAAAGGACGGCAAAGTCTAGGGCTCTCAAAAATTAATCTGTCACGTCAACTCGGCTCGATTCTTACTTTAACAATTCAGATCTGGGTTGACCTAAATAAAATTTGGGTCAGGTTTATATCAAAAAAAAAAATAATGTGTTTTAATTTTTCTAACACGTCAACCGAAAAAACACCCAAAACACCGACCCATCAAATTTAAATTGACTTGAAGTTGGCCCTTCGACCCAAATTTAACCCGAGATCGACTCGATTTTAACCAGAATAGTTTTTACCCTTTATGTTAAATGGGTTACACTAATCAGATTCGGGTTGATGGGTTGAATACAGGTCTTATTTAGGTTGGACTTTCTAATCTATCTAATAGTGGGTCAATCTATTTTGGGTTGGCCCAAGTCTGACCCGTGAATTCAATTTGAAACTCCCCACATTCTTTTCCTAACTTAAAAGCTGCATAAAAATAATGATATATTTGCATTTATTCGCTTTAATAGTCAAATCTTAGCTCAACGGCTCTGATTCCACTCCCATGAGGATATCTATGGCAGGTTATTTCATTCTTGCTTTAACATTTATATTTTTTTAACGTGATAATTAAGAAAATATATAAAAAAAAAACTTAATCACATCCTTGATCATGAGATACGGATGGTTTGAGCTCCTGAAATCAAGAGGACAACAAGTTCTATCTTTTAAGGTGTATGGTAGCTAAATAATATATGAGTAGCATTTTATAGATTTTATCTTTTTAAGAAAAAAAAGATTTAAATTATAGATTTTGTTTGTACCATCATTAATTGGATCCTAAAGCATTAGTAAATTGCAAAAAAAAAAAAAATGTTGTAACTATACAATTTGAAGCGTGGAGCTACTCATATCAGCAATGCACGAATAGCTTTCAGCATTTCTTGCCCCAACATAAACACACAAAAAGATGATGAAAAAGATAAATGAATCCAAAGAGCCAGACGTTCAGACGAAGGTCCAATGAGTATAAAGGCCCGAGTGCTGAAGCTTGAGTTACGAAGGCTGAGTACCAATGACTGAGTACGGAGGGCTGAGTATGAAGATTTTTTAAAAACGAGAATCGTAGCCGTTTATCACCTACCAGTTCACTTATAAGAGAAGGTCATCCACATTGTCTTCAAAATTTCTTGATCTCATTTTCAATACTTTATTTGGATAAAAAGGGCTTCATTCATGCATTCAAGGATTATTATCCCCAACTCCTTTAAGGTGACTTGGATTTAAACAAATATCACCTTGGGTTCTCCTATCTTCTCAATGGGAGCTGGGAACACTCCAATATGAAAGATGACCTCCCACTTCGTCTCTAAATCATTGTTCATCAACAGCATCACCAACACAATCAACTTCATTGGTAACTTTAGCTTTATTATTCGGGGTGATACTCCTTGAAAGATTATCCTCATTGATAATCTCACTCTCAACTATGACTTCCTTGGATTCTTGCTCTCCACCAATATCAACTGACTCACTCTTTAAATGTGAAACTTTAGAAGATTCATCCTAATTTTTCGGTTAAGTTGGCCTATGCAAAGGTGAGGTGTTACCTATAACCTTCATTTGAAGTTAAGGATAAGCTCCAATGCTAAGGCCTTGCTCTGAGTATCATTGAACTCTAAGGCTTCAAAGAATTTGTTGCTCTTTGCTATAAAGGAAGACTTCGAAGTGCTGAACTCTCTACTTGGATTTCTATTTGGAAAAGTCTTAACTCTAACAACTATCATTGGAGAATCGAATATTTCATCTTTAATGTCTATTGTTGAAGCTTTTCTTCCATTAAAACCCCACCTACATAAGTAGGAGTTATCTTGGCAACAATCTTGTCAGTCTTTTAATTTTTTTAGTGGAGACATGCTCAATCCATATAAAACTCATTCCATTTTGCGCCTTAGGAAATGAGCAATTATTTTTGTTAGGATATTAAGCAATTTATAGATGAGATGAATCCATTTCAAATGTTATATAAAGTTGAAGTGTTTTTATCCAAATATTTTGTGCTAGTTGATATAATTTTTAGAATTTTGTTGTAACTTCATGAAATCACATGTTTCCATATTTTAAGTTGACTTCAATATTTTTTTGATATACGTTTACATAAGAAAACTATATGATCTATAGAATCTTTGATTTCCTAAGTACAATGAATAGTGGCGATAATACTAGTTTTCTGACAAGAGTAGTGAATAGTAAAAAATAGTCTTACATATAATAAGTGAATTTAAATCATGCTGAATGCCATCACCGTTAATAAGCTCATGCTTATGGTCCTTAAAATTGAGGCAAATCTTATAAGGCTTCCTTCTATTTAAAATCCTACTCACGTTAATAAATCCAAAGAACTAGCCAAGATATTATGCAGAACTATTATACATGTGAGAATATATAACACCCCCATTTAATGCCTCTATTATCTTCATAGGAGATTTTGTGGCGCCAAGCTCTCCGTACCGGATATGTGGCTCCCTTCAATAATCTTCCCCGCAAATCCACACTTGTTCTACATTCCCGATTCCTGATAGATCCAGCCGCCGCCCACCTATGGCTCCGGCGCTCACTTCCCAGTACAGCTTCAGCCGCCTCATCACTCCCCCTCACCCCAAGCTCGGTCTCCGTCTCCATCAAAAGCCTCCCACCACCATCTTCTGCAGAAAACCAAACTTCACTTCCCCCGAGACCAACAAACCCAGCCGCTTCTTCTTCTTCGACCTACCTAAATTACCCGACCCCAAATCCACATCTCTCTTCTCCACCCGCCTCCGCAAGGACCCCAACACCGTCTTCGTCGCCGGGGCCACCGGCCAAACCGGTGCTCGCATTGTCCTCACCCTCCTCCGCAGGGGCTTCTCTGTCCGCGCCGGGGTGCCAGATATTGCATCTGCTCAAGACCTCGCCCGCCTCGCCGCTGCTTATAAAACCATCTCACCGGAGGAATCCAGGCGGCTTAATGCAGTGGAGTCGTCTTTCGCAGACCCGGAGTCGATCGCTAAGGCCATCGGCCTGGCCACGAAGGCGGTCGTCACGGTCGGATCGGGAGAGAATGGACCTGCCAGTGTTGTCACCGCTGATGATGCCTTTACTGTTGTTCGAGCCGCGGGGCTTGCTGGCGTAGGGCATCTGGCTGTTGTTTATGACTCGCAGGTTGGTGGTCCGGGGTCCGGGCAGTCCACCTACAACGTGTTCGACGGAATTACCTCTTTTTTTTCCAACCTTTTTGTGGGCGCTCCGATGCCTCTGACGATGGCCGGGTTGCTTGCCAAGCTGGTGGAGACTGATGTCGTTGCTTATACGTTCGTCAAGGCCAGGCTCACGGAAGATTACGCACCAGAGAGTTCTTTTGCTCTTGTAGTCGGTAAGGAGGGCAGCAGCTCAGATGGGACGACCACGCTTTATAATTCCAAGGTATCCATTATCTTTACATTGAACAAATCTACCAGAATAGTCGCAGGGCAATTATTTGTAAATAAAAAAATTTGTAGTTTCTGTTATTTCTATCTTTAAGATCCCGTACCTGTCTTACAGGTGTCCAAGTCCCAGATTGCAAAGTTGGTGGCGGATGTTTTCTCCAATGCTTCAGTTGCGGAAAATAAGGTGCAGATGATTCTTGTGCAATTTCTATTGAAGTTGAGTCACCTTTAAGACTTCTAGCCATTCTGTAAGAGCGATATGTCTTGCATCTAATAATCTGTCATAATTTATAAGCACTGTTTGTACTATAGCTCGTGGTAGTATATGAAGCCCTCCATTATTTCAAAATTTTACTTTGGTTGGTTAGTTTCACATTATAATCACAGGATAATGATTTAAGGGTGATGCTATACTCCCCAAACAAATCCTACTTGAAAATTGAAATAGTATTTTCTTGATTGTTGTCATCATCTATGCGAAAAAATCAAACAAAGTGCCTCCATAAACACATCACTTTTAGATATAGGAATAAATAAAAGATTACATAGAATTTATTTGGGGATGAGGGAAAACTGAGCCCAACTTAATAAATTGATTAAGTGCACAGTGTAGAGACATATGAAAGGAGCTACAAGAATTTACAATTGAAAATGCAGCTTTACCAAAACAAAAGATCTATCAAAAATAATTGAGTAAAAGCCTAGAAGCTTCAAAGGACTCAAAACAGTGCTTGAAGGTTAAATGGTCAAGTGAGTAAATATCTATAATACTTACAAGCCCAATAAGAAAATATTCCAAATAATAAATTTCAGTTGTTAAAATTTGCCAACAAATGACAAAACCTCCAAACCATCTAAAAGTGAGGAAACTTTTTGTAGGAGAGGTTGGAAATTAGTGAGAAAGAGTTTGCTGAATTATATATGGATGCCTGAATGTTTGAGTTTCATACGGGATAGAGGAATGACAATTCTGTCACTAAAAACTTGTTTCTCATTGACCCTTTTAGAGAAACAAAGAGATCTCTTTGGTTGATTGATATCATGGATAATCTATAAGAAATTGAGATTGCTAGTGTTGGCATCTCCAAAAATTAAGAAGTTATTGCATACAAAGGTGAGAAAATGTGATCTGATCAATGATAATCCTAAGGTAGTCACTTGAAGCAATTTTGTCTTCAAGAAGATTGGATTGACAATCCATAGCACACGAATGAAAATATAAGTGGCAACTTTGCTTTAACTTAGAATAAGAGGAGAAAAACTATTCCACGTCACCATTAGACAGGTAGAGTGGTGCAAATCATACCATCATACCTTGATCCAATCAAAGAAATGCAAAAAGAACCTTTGAGGTGCATTCATTTCAAAATAAATCCTCTTTTGACAATGTTAAAAGCTTTTTGAATGTCAAGTTTAGTATAAAATGTTTACCTGTCTTTGATGGCTGAATACTTATGAAGAGTGTTAGTTACATAGTGAGACTAACCTAAAGTTAGATATGTTGCAGGCTTGGGGAAGCTTGAGAATATGTTTGATAGTAGTGGCCTTTACTTTCTTGGATAGCTTTTTTTGATGTAAGAAGTGTTTAACCTTCGAACAAACCTTATTTCTCCCAAATCTTGAGGGCAAGCATAAAATTCAAAGGTATTTCCAGTAGGATTAGGAGCAAAATCCTCAATACATAGAAGGCCACTCGTTTAATTTACTTATTAGAGATAAGATCCAAAACTTCAATAAGAAGTGATGATGGACTTGAAAATACATGGTGAGAAGGAGTTTGTGAGATGAAAAATGTTTGTTAAATAGATTTTTGAAGTGTTAGATATTAGCATTAGTAATAACAGTTTATGAGGTAAAACTTACAAAATCAGTGGAGAGCTCCTTTACGATGTTGATGCTTCTCCTTTGATTAACTTTCCCGTATAAAATGTGGTGGCCATTTTCTTCCCGAGAAAAAAAACTTAGCCTTGGTTTTTTGAATAATCCATGAATAATGCAAGCTTTGTAGTGCACATAATTTACATTAATATCATAAACATGATAATTGAGGAGAGCTTCTTGAGGCTGAGAATTAAAAAAAAATATTTCTTTATTGATCTTCTTTTATTGTAGCACTAGAGTCAGAAATACTATTAGAATTAGAAATGTGATTCACAGAGTACTAACATTTAGCTCCTAGAGATTGCCCAAGGCATTTGGGCGTTTGATAAACTATAAAGACTGGTTCATTCATCAAAGTAATGATCCCATGCTTGAGCAGGAATAGTCTTGAAGGAATGATGTAAGGTCTAAAATTTTTTAAATACAAATCTATGAGTTGCAGCAAATGGAAGTGTTGTTAGGATGATGATTGAAAAATGATTAGAGCATAAGGAGGCATAACTTTGTAGAAGATAAGGGGTAATGACTCAATCTAATTTGTGGTTGACCATCACACAATCCAACTTTATTATAATAGGTTTAATCCTATTGCTAAACAAGGTGTAACCTAAATAGGAAAGAACTCTTAGAGAAGACTAAAAAATAAATGAGTTGAACTCCCAAATTTTATTGTTTGTGATATTTGTTTCCTCGAGCATTTTTATGATTGAATTTGCAACGATTGAAATCTCCTGAAAAATTATAGGAACTAGAAAGGTTAGCAATGTTTTTGAGAGAATTATAAAGTAGGGTTCTATCTGCTTGAAGTTTAGCAGCATAAATAACAGACAAGTGCAGAGCAGTAGAGGTGCCGCATCGCACAATGCCTTGAATGATCTACTCCTCCGCAAGTTAAGGAGAAAATGAAATTGTAGAAGTATTCCATTTTATTGAGATATGACTAGCGGAAGAGTTCAAAGTTGTCATAGTTGCTTTCACAACCAAACTTGGTGGCAATTGACAAACCAAGGGTCATTAACAAGAGAGGCTTTGATTTTGGCTTCAAGTACACGAATATCAAGGTTTTATGAGTGGACGTGATCTCTGTAGCTGAGATATTGATCCAAATCGTAAAAACCTCTGACATTCCTAGAAGCTAATGAAGGGAAGAACATGGCAGGATCAATTTTTTTTGGTAGTGGTGAATTGGCTTGACCCAATTTGTTGCTATTGGGTTTAACTGTGAGTTCAGGGGGAATGAATGTGTTGTTTTCAGTAGTGTCTGTAGTTGTTGTGTTGAGAGTAATACAGAATACCTCCATTGGTTTGGAATTTGATGCCTCAGTAGAGTTAAGGTTAGGAGCAGTTTTTTTCGGGTACTGATGCCGGGATGGGGATCTTGAAGGATTTGGTGACATTGGTTTGGGTGAGTAAATAGCTGGCGAGGTTAGATGTCGGTAGAAGGTAGCACTGAAATAGTTTTCCAACTGTGACTAGCTCTTCTGCTTCTTGTAGGATAATAAGCAAAAGAGTGAGCAAGAGGCTCCAACTAGAACACAGGGTTAGCTTCTACTCATGGACAACTTTATTTGTTGAGTCTTCACACACCCAGGCTGATGCCAATTTATTTCAGGAGTTGCAAACTATAGATTCATCAACTCATTCTCATAAAAGTACGACGAATTATGTTTGTCTTGAGAGCATTGATAGAGAGCGGGATACACACATTACTAGCGATCTTTGAGACCAATAACATAAATGTAGATTTATGGTTTTAATCCAAAGAGAAATGGGCAAAAACTCTCTCTTACTAGCAAAACTTGGGAGATTATTTTTAATGATGAAAGATTTCCAAATAAAAATAAAGGACCTCCCATCCATACGGATCATATTCTTTAGGGCATGAAACTTAGGCAAGAAAGAACTATCATCAAGTGATAGAAGTTTTTGATTACCTTTCAGTTTCAAAGTCATATTGTAGGCTTACATGACGCCCCTATAAAGTACACTTCCAAAGGTAAACATATTGCTATTATTTTAACTATTTATGAATCTAATGCTGTACCCACTTTTTTGTGGTTCATTAAAATGTTTCATTTGTTACCAAAGCTTCTATGGCCTACGTTTCTCCTGTTTTTTAAATTGGTGCTGGTCAATCATGTTTCCATTTAGAAGTTGCTTAAATCTGATTATTGATTTAACTTAGTAAATCAGTTTGAGCTTATCTCCAAGTCATGCTTATAATTAGGTTCAGGGTTAGATTAACTCACTTATGAAGGGTTAAAACTTAAAATAGAGAGTTGATTACAAGTCATATAAATAAGAGTTAGAGGTTATGTTAAACCTGACGATATTGAAGATTTGGTATATATCAATGAATTCATATATTTGAGGTGACACTTGAATCATAATTCGTTACTTCATTAGCTTTAAGTGCTCATAAACTTTCTTTGAACTTATTATTTTAACCATGACACTTTGTGAAATTCTTTCTCCTCCTCAATTTTAGGTTATTGAGGTTTCAACAGATGCTTCAGCTACTTCAAAACCAGTGGTTGAACTTCTCAGGTATAAATTGCATATTATAGTATCGTATTGTTTTGAAATATTTATCTACTTGTTTAATTGCATGTGCATCATGTGGATGTTATTTATATTTAAATAATAAATTCTAAATTATTAAAATTTAGAAATAATTATTATTATGATATTATTATATTTACAAGTAAACATGTAAACCTATTAATTATTTACTATTTCATTTTTTTTAGAATAAATGGATTATGGGATTATATTAGATACTATCACATTGGTTATATATATATAATTTTTCATCTAAAGAATGAGCAATCCCAATTTATTTGCACGTGCACAAAGTGTATATTATTAGCATTTAAAAAATAATAAAAATATGTAAAGAGATACTCAGCATCATTTATATTAATTAATAAATTATTTATTTTCAAAAGACAACTTGAAGTATAATTAGTCGTGATGTAGGTTTCTATCATTCTTTTTATGTTTATATTTCAGGTGATGTAGGTTTCTATCATTCTTTTTATGTTTATATTTCAGAGGATGAGGACTACAGGAGAAGATTAGAGTGTTTAATTAGAATTTTAGGAAAAAGTAGATCTTAAGAGTTGAATGAAAACGGAGATGATATTTAAAAACCCATTTGTTTGTTAAAAAAAAAGTTGGCATTGCAGACATTTTTAATGAGAATTGGTCAAACTAAAAATAAATACCCAAAATTGTTAAGAATTAGTGAAGTAGGAATATATATTCTTTTCAAAACAATTATGAAAATCAGCTGTTTGAAATATAATTGCCTATGATTTAGGACATTTGAAGAAAAAACTCAGAATTTAACTGTAATTCTGTAGTTGAATTAATTTTTTTTGGTATGGGAAAACTTTAATAAATAGTTTCATTTATAAACTAGTGGCAGCTTTTTGAATCCAAATTTGCCTGTGCCGTGAATCACACTCACACTCACACCAAATGAACAGAGTGTAATTAGAGAGAGAGAGAGAGAGAGACGAACAATAATCAATTATGTCTTATTCATAAAATTTTTCCATTATTTATTGAGGAGATGGTACAACGATGATATTACATTTATGTTCTTGTTTGGAAGAGGTTTGTACTACAGTATTTCTGGTTTTTTACATGTATAGGCTTGTTATCCGACTATTTTCTGGCTTGGTTGGCTACGCTTTGTTGACTTCGAGTTAAAGGGACTAGCTTGGTCGGTATGGGTCGATCGACTGATTTAGCCTGACTGTCAATCCTTGATCCCTAGTGAGAAACCTCTGGGGCGTCCATGAGATGGTTAAAGATACTGTGGATCGGTGCTGACACATTTTTTATTTACAAATTTAATTTCTGCGAGTTCTTCAAAGTCATAGCAATTTCTATGTAGATAATGATACAGATAAATACTCAACAAGAAAGGAACCCAACAAGTGCTTTGACCATGTGATTAAACATTCTCATGTATGAAAAATAAGTTTCTCTTCAAATAATGCTTAAAGTCCAATAACCATATTTTCAATTCATAAACAATACCACATGATAAAGAAGTTCATATATTTGCATGAAAAGAACATGTATTGAGGTCTTTGGATAAGTGGAGAGAGTTAATTCCTTAAGCATTTTCTCTACTTATGAGTTTCATGAATAAGTATGTTGAATAATTATTCTTCAATTGATTTATCTCATTAAGTTGTTGGCCTTTTGTTTTGGCAATATTGTGTGCAAAATCTTAATTTATTAAATAATGAACGATACTTTTGTTCTTTTATATACTGTTAGAAGTTATATTGAGAAATAATTTATTCTTATTAGAAGTTTTAAGCGGTAGGAGACCCTGGTGTTTGTTTAAATGCTCTGATATCATGTTGAAATTCAGAATAATGTGAAATTAAACGAAAAATTTCGTTGATATGAAAGAGAGTATGAATAACTCTTACATGAATCATAGTATAAGAAAGACAATAAAAAAAAATAATATGAAAGGAAAGATGTATCACCTAATATCTCAAATTAATCAATCTATATTAATTATTTGGAGATAAAGGAAATAACATAAATTATGAAAGCCTAAAATAGGAAAGAAAATAAATCTAATTCTAGAAAATAAATCTAAATAGGAAAACAAATAAAATTATATTAGGAAATAAGTCTAATACTCATAACTTCTAATAGGAATAAATTATTTCCTAATATAACTTCTAACACTCCCCCTAATGTTAAAATATTATTGAAATTTATGTTAAACTTGAATTTGAAAACATCAAACAATGAACGAGGAGGATTCTGTGAGGTGGAACTTGAAGTCTTCATCCTGTACTGCGATTGTCTCTTACTATGTCTGTAGATGGGTGGAAGACTTCTAAAAGTAATGTTGTATGAGAGTTTGCAGAGAAATTGACAATTTGCAGGAAAAGCTGACTTCTAGTTAATTGTAGTTGTCGTTGACTGCAGTTCATGTAGTGTCTGTAGGTAGACTGAAGAATCCTACGGTAATGTTGCAAGGGAGTTTGCAGGGAAGTAGATGACAGTAATTGTCTTGGATTGCAGTTCCTGCAGTGTCTATAGGTAGACGGAAGACTCCTATAGGTAATGTTGCAGGGGAGTTCCCAGGAAACTAGATAATTGTGATTGTCTTTGACTACAGTTCCTGTAGTGTTTGTAGGTAAGCAGAAGACTCCTATAGATAATGCTGCAGGGGAATTTGTAGGGAAATTAGGGAAATAGACAACCAATATGAAAAAACTGCAGGGTATGACCTGCAGAAGAAGGAAATACGCCAGAGGTCGGCGTTGCTGCAGAAAAAGCTCCGGAGGAGAATCTGCTGTAGGACATGCTCTGGAGGAGAGTCTACTGCAGAAAAGTTTCTGGAGAAGGGTTTGTTGCAGGAAAAAGTTTCGGAGAAGTGCATGATGTAGTAAAATGTTCTAAAGGAGAGCCTGCGGCAAGAAAAATTCCGGCGGAGAACTTGCTACAGGAAAAGCTCCGGAGGAGGCTTTGATATAGGAAAAAAATTGGAGGAGAGTCTGCTGCAGGAAAAACTCTAGATGAGGGGCTGCTCTAGGAAAAAGCTCCGGAGGAGGCTGCTGCAAGACAAGGTTCCGGATGAGGGTTGCTCAAGAAAAAGTACCGGAAAAGGTCTGTTGCATCGTTCGCACCCAAGATTTCTCCCTTGTCGGGCTTTGACGAAGGAAAAGCTTTCAGTTGCAATGGCTTTATAACAAAGCCAACATTAACAAATGGTAGCATCAAGAGCGCCAAAGGAGACCATTCCCAACCATTCCACCATACACGTAACCAAGGGCAATTCTAGATGGAATGCACATGTAGAAAGTTGTAGGCCTAGCAGTTTTCTATGATACAGGTGCATTCTCGTCAATAGATGGAGCTGCGAGGCTTATGAATGAAGCCTCACTTTTTTCCAAGGGTGAAAATATTGGAGATGCCACTAGAAGTTCAACCATAAACGCAGATGAGAGCACACCACCTTCAAATTGTTGAGGCCGAAGTTACCATGAATTCCACCTCCGATATGCAATTACCGCTCTCTATGCATGTTCTTTGGCTACAATTTACACCATCGCTTGGAATTATTTCTCGATCAACATAATCCTGCATATTCATAACACGGAATATCACGAGCCACAAAGGCTTCTCCTCACCTCCAGGGCTCAATTCCTGTTCGCCGCTTTAGGGGAATCACGATTGCCATTTCCTCCGTGGGTGAAGCAGCGGGAGTGGTCGACAGGGAGGCCTAATGGCTAGAAGATCTTGTAGGATGGATAAGCGGTTAAAACTATGATTTCCACAGGAGAGAGGAAGTCGCCCTACTGTCGAGGTTGGAGTCGACCCTCCGGTGGAATCCAGAACACCTTCTGAAGGTTGGCTCAGAGTTGGAGGAATCTGCCATGATTTCAACTGAGTCAAAAGAGATTTGGTGGGATTCCGAGACTTAATGGCGGCCGATGGAAGTAACGAAGGAGATTTGTAGGCGAATTGGAACTCAAGAAGCCGGACTGTTGGAATCTGGACAACTGCAGAAAAATAGGGAAGCCGGACTGCTGAAAACTAGGAAGCCAGACTGCTGTAGGGAACAAGTGGAAAAAAAACAAATGGAAGGATCTGCAGGGAGGCAGCGGGTGCACCTCTAGCGGTAAGGACCTACAAAAATATCAGGGAAGCTGGATTGCGGGAAACCAGGAAGGGATGACTGGATGCAGAGTAGGCCAGCGGCTGGGAAAACCAGCCAAGAGGGGATGACTGCTGGGAAAAACTATGGGAGGCTCTGCAGGTAAGATAGACGGCTGTTGTAGAGGAGCCTGGTGGCTTGGATCTAGGGTTAGACAGGCGATTGGGGTCCATGGTTAGGTGAAGAAGAAAAAAATCATTGTTTCAAATACTAAGATGAGCACCCCTCTCTTCCCACACAGAGGATAACAAGAAGGAAGTTCGACGGTTCTGGAGGGAAGACCCGCTGCTAGGGTAGGGAATTTGAATATGATATCATGTTAAAATTCAGTTAATGCAGAATTATTTTTATTGATTTAAAAATGGGTATAAATAACCCTTACATGAATTCTAGAATAGGAAAAACAATAAAAATAAAATAATAAGAAAAGAAAGATATATATTGAGATTTATATCTAATGTAGGGTCATATTTGTAAATAGATGAAATATAGGGATTTATCTGTAAATGTAACTTGTAAGGCTATATATAAGTCCATCATGAATGAAATGAAGGGAGCCTTTTTGCAAAATCATTTCAATCTGGTTGATACCCCTAAAGGGACATGGATACTTGCTTAGGCTTCATTTGAGGTGGCTTATACCTTTCTTCTTTTGGTTGTTAAAAGCTACTTTCTTAACCAAAAGTAGCTTTTATAGGCAAATTGTGAAAAAGCAATGAATAATTTGTCATCCAAACGAACACTGATTTTTGCTGACTACTTTTCCTACCCAAAAGCACTCGAAGCTTATTCCAACCAATGCCTTTATCGAAGTAATAAAATTACTAGGGAAGCTTGAGCAACC